TTTATTTTTAAAAGACCAAGGGAAGTCGTGTTAATGCAGCCTCTCCAGAGCGCGTCAGCTCATCCACCGTCCGTCAAGCAGTTCCAATTAAAACCCGAATATGAAAAACGCTCGTAGCACAGGAGGAGAGGGCGGAGCAAAGCATTTCTATGGTTAATCAGTAAGGAACTTGTTGTAGTTAATCTTATATGAGGATGGGGAGGATTTCAGGCTTTTTTTTAGAATGAAGGCAACCTGACATCACAGCAGCAGTGCAACATGCCGGGGGGGGGAGGTGGAGGATGGTGGGGGGGGGGGTGTTATCTCTCCTCCAACACCTCCTCCCTCCTCCGTCCTGTCCCTCGCTCTATTAACCCGAACTATTAGCATGGACAGCAGAGCAGATGAGACCAGAGAGAGAGAGAGAGATAATGATACAACGACCAGGAGTCTTGACAGAATCATTTCCTCTTTCTCCCAAACTCTCTCACACACACACACACACACACACACACGCACACACACACACACACACACACACACACACACACACACACACACACACACACACACACACACAGACTCCATCCTTTCCTCTCTCGGCCTATTTTGACATTCACAGAAGTAACCAGGCAGAACATCTGGCTTTCAGGGAGTCCAGATGAAACAACCTCACAGGATCATTCAAACACACACACACATGTTGAGAATGTACAGTTATTGTAATGTAGTTTTTTACACGTGCATTTAGTGATAATGCATATATATATATATATGCTTTATATATATATATATATATATATATATATATATATATATATATATATATATATATCAGAGCTAACAGCTAATGGTGCCCATAGCTAACTGAGTAAGTATCATTTATTTCCGTTTTACTTTATATTTGGCTTCTGTGGATTGGTGGACGCATCGCGAGTGATGATCTTTCCCTTTGTGCGTCTGTGCTTTAATACCCCCCATCTACCCCCCCCCCCCCCTTCAAGAGGCGCGGATACCTGGTTTTTTCTTCTCCCATAAATCTCTATAAGGGAACCAGATTTCTGGGAAAATATAAAAAAGGCTCTGGCCACTGGGGAGATGTGACAGTGAACTGGTCTCTATTCTCACATATCGCCTCTGCGTGTCTGTGTGTGTCTGTGCGTGTGCGTTTCTGTGTGTGTGTGTGTGTCTGTGTGTGTGCGTGTCTGTGTGTGTGTGGCACAAGTTGGGACACAGATCTCAATACAACATAAATGACACATATGAATGTGATTTAAACACATATAAACACTGTAGTTATGATTTATTGACACTGCTAATTATCAAACTGCTTTCAGTTTCCTGTGTGTGTGTGTGTGTGTGTGTGTGTGTGTGTGTGCGTGTGTGTGTGTGTAACATTGCAGTCAAAGATGCCTGATTATGCCGCATCCTCAACCAAAAAAAAAAAAGAAAATCACATTTATGCTGATTCTCGCCGTTTCTTTTCTGAATCCTCTGAATCATTTATAAAGGACGGAGAGATGGCGAGGGGGAGGTGTGGGGGGAGGGAGGCAGGGTGAGGGGGGGTGTAGGGATCCAAAACACCCAACACAACAAACACTTTCTTGTGCTTCTACACGCTGATTGCAAATTGCCCGTCTGTGTTTGGTAACGGTTCTGTTCATGTGGCCGACGCCAGAAAGACGTCGCGTATCCGCCGGCTGGCTCTGACCTTTGACCCCTCCGGCCGCTCCTCGTGAAGGAGGGGGACGTTTCTTTAAGCGGAGGGTCAAAGAGGAATATCGACTACACGCTGAATGACAGGAAGTCCGTGACGTTTGCGTTGATGGAACAACTATCAATGACATGTCGTCTTGTCACTGAAGTTCATTTGTCCCTTAATGTGGTTTTTAAAAGTCGCCGTTTCAACTGAATGTGGCGAGGTTTTTTTTTTTTTTGGTCAGGTGACTCGGGGACCCGTTGAACCGCAGCTCTATTTCTCAAACGAGGCCCTCAGAGCCGGAGGCCGGTCTACTCAGCCGACCCGGGGGGGCACTCATATAAAACATTATTATTATTATTACTGTTCCCCCCCTGGAAGCCGGTTACGGCGGCTCTGAAAACTCATTTCCCTCTCGTCTTGTCCGTGAATACCTCCCGATAGGCCGAGGGAGGGAGAGAGGAACAATAACTGCATCGCGTGTGACGGGGAAATGAATAATTTCAACCGCCTGCACGCGCGTGTGTGTGTGTGTGTGTGTCTTGTGGGGCATTGTGTGTGTGTGCGATTGGCCGTTGTGATACATGAGGCACAGATTGGTGCATCGATCTTGTTTCCCCAAGAAGAAGACAGAGAGAGAGAGCGACCAGGTTACTGATGACTGAATTTTGTCCCCCAAACTGCACGTCAACATTCATAACGAATCATAACGAGCAGAAAAGCTCTTTAAAAGCAGGAAAAACACAACAACAAAGAGAAAGTTGGACGAGGATCCTGAAGATCACGACGTAATGAAGCCGTGGTTCACACGCTGGATAAACAGCTAAAAAACAACCAGACTCCATTGAAGAAAACAGCACTTTAAGCTCCTTCCACCGTCGCTTCATTCAAACTCGACAGAAACAAAGCGAATGAAAACATTCTGACCTCCAACAGTCACTCTGCTTCGTCCAGATGGACTTCACATATTTTAATAAAAGCCCTTGAACATCAAATATGGGTTCAGAAGCAATTTCAAGGGGAAAATAACTGAAGGTTAACCAGCATATTTCCACTATTTCTGATCCCGAGGAAAGGAAGAACATCCTCTGAGGAAAGGAGATACATACTCAGAGGAAAGGAATTGAATCCTCAGAGGAAACGAAATGAATCCTTAAAGGAAAGAAATATATGAAGGGCCGTGCACGCTCCAACCTGACTGCTTCAAAGGCTCTCAGTGTGTGTGTGTGTTCTCCACTTTTCTTGCACGCATGCAGATGAGGGTGTGATCCTGCATATAAGCACTTCTGTGTGTGTGTGTGTGTGTGTGTGTGTGTGTGTGTGTGTGTGTGTGTGTACGTGTGCGCGAGCAGGAGTGGCGTCCCTTGCACAGGAAGTGCTGGTGCTGGTTGGTAAACAGGAGTGACTGTGAAAAATGGGGAGGTGTGTATCAATACGTGAACAGTGCACAACGCCACGAGTACTGCCATATATATATATATATATATATATATACACACTGTATACATGTGTATATCAGAAGCATGTACACAGGATCCTGCAGAGAACAACACAAACACCTGCTGTTGATGTTTTTAACATATTTATCCACATTTACAAAGCGCCGAATATTCTCACCTGCCAGCTGTCCGACTGAACCGCGGGCTGCATTTACATGCACATTAATAACCCCATTATTCCGTAATTAGGCCAATAATGAGGGTAAGAGCCCATGGAAACAACATCTGATTACATGCATAAGGAAGCGTCGTCGCAGGAACGCGTGCTGGCGTCTGTGGGAACGGAGCTTTTCCATCAGGAGGACCACCAGAGGACACAAGGGGACACGTTTCTGAGGAACCTTTGAGGGACCCATTAGCTCCTCCCCTCACAGAGAGGGACCCATTAGCTCCTCCCCTCACCGGGTCTGCAGCCTGGATGGCCTCCAGGAGCCAACCATCAAGGAGAGAACATCCGGCCGAGGGATGGTTGGAGTTTATTTCACGCTTTGTGTACGGAGAACGTTCTCATTAGAACTCCGTCTTTTCCCGTTGGAGCTCATCGTGAATAATGTGCCGCTGCACCGAAGGCTCCAAACGGAGTTCTTCTGTTCTGAGAGGAACAGAACGCGATGGAAGGAGGCGGCGTGGACCTGCTGACGGTTCCTACACCGATACCACGGCTTGAAAACGACACACACACACACACACACACGAGCCTCCTCTCCCCCCGACCGGCTGAGTGGATGCAGCTGTTCCTTCCCCTTCTCCTCAAGTACTTTAATTACATTTCAGATCTCACATTTGAGGCATTTATCTGGTCAGCGTACAATGAGAGCAACAGCAGATTAAGCCCGGCTTGACAAGCTCCTCCCACTCACACGCACGATTAGCATACTGTTACTGACTGAGAAGTCGACACATTTTCTAACGATGCACAGCTTCTCGAAACAAACGAGAGCGCAATCGTTCTGTTGTTTAGCAGACTTTATTTTGGGGGGGGTTCTCCTTGAAGAAAGCTTCTTCTTATTTTAATCTATGTCACTGAAGCAGGTTCACTCCCCCGAATCGACACCTGACCCCTCACCTGACTCAGCACGCAGGTATGACAACAACGATCGAAGACTGTGTGATGTTAACGCTACTTTATTATATATAGAGAGAGAAATGGATTCTCTCCAAAATACATGTGTGTGAGTTTGTGTGCGTGTAGTTCAATAATAAACGAGGTAAGCGAGGCCGATCAATACAATTCATCCCACCAGACGCACACTTCACACTTCCTGCAGAGCACAACATGGGCCGACACCAGAATGAACCCACTTACCTTCGCCAGAGGGTGTTTGTGTATTATTATGGGAATATATTATGATATACATGGGAGTACATAGCTTAGTACAACCGGGAGGATATTTGTGCATTTACTTAAGTTCTAACAGAAGTGTCTCAGATTCATCTCAACGTTTCAGAGGAAACTTTCTACTTTTTTCACAAATCTGAATACTTAATCTTAAGATCACGAAAAAGAAAAGTCATAAAATGAAACTATCTGCTTTTTTACAACAATCATCACAACTCGTCCACCATTCTCTTCTGTTAGGAACATTTTACTGATCATTTATTCGTAGTGGCGCTGCTATAATCAAGACTTTTGACTTGTTATTTTGCAGCATGAATTACAAACTATCCTCCAGGTTTGGATAAAAGGACACATATCTGGGGACAGAAAAACATCCACTAATACGGACATAAACTCGTGATATTACGGGCGGTGCAGCCTGCGGGGACACTGCTGTTAACTCCACACGCACACACACGCACGGAAGGACAGGTTGTGTCTCTACTTCACCTGGTTGGACACCGTCTCTCCGCCTCCTCCTCCTCCTCCTCCTCCTCCGCCTGCACCGGCACCGAGCTCCGGTAGCCCCCTCCGGCTCAGCGCCAGCAGGTAAACCAGCGCCCCCAGCCACACCAGCACGGCCACGGCCACCGCCAGCCGCCGACAGAGACGCTTCATTTTGCGGCCGGGAGGAGCCGGCGGCGCCGCTGCGCGGCTCTCCGTCAGAATCCCATTTGTAACAGAAGCGAGGGGAGAAGAAAAAGCACCACCACAAGCGGAGGAACCGGAGGAACCGGAGAAGCTCCCGGGAGTGAAGACAAGTCGGTCCCGGTGAAACACTGACTCCCCCCTCTCCCTCCCCTCACTCTCTCTCCCCCTTCTCCCTCTCTCCCTCACTCTCTCTCTCTCTCAACTCACAGAGAGGCTCGAGCGCTCCTCTGACTCGCCTGGTTGCTCAGTGCGCGTACGCGCGTCCGTCCTGAAGCCGCGTGGAGCTCCACCTGCCGACACACGCGCACGCGCGCACACGCCTCCCCGACTGTCATGAAGCGGAGCGGGGACGCGCGGAGGGAATCTTCCCTTTAGCGGTGACGAAAGGGAATAAAGAATAAAACAGAATATAACAGCGGATTCAGCAGACGGACATTAATCATTTAGGTTTCTTTTCGGAGCAAACAGGCCGATTCATTTAAATGTTTTCTCAACTGTTCAGACAGTTGAGCAGCGGGTGCGATGAACCCAGGGCTCCCAGTAAGAACCCGGTGGGGGTTCATTGGGCAGACTGGGAGAAGTACCCGCATGTTTTATCTCAATAAATCATGTTGCATGTTGTGTTAAACATGCGGATGAGACTGAGAGGAACTGTCTTAGTGCGCCATCTAGTGGTCACATTCTCTCCACATGTGGAGACTTTTAATGAAGAAATGAGTCTTTCTAGTCATGGATGTGTAATGTTCAGTTCACCACTAATACATGAGGATGATGTATCGTGGATTAGCCCGCCAGGTAGAATATTAACCAGCTACAACATGAGGGATGCTCACATATGAATGCATCAGTAACCTGAATAAAGAATCCTTTTGTAAATGAAGCACACTGAATATACTAAGAGAAGCAACTTTCATTTAATTTTAAATGAGTTGTGGTAAAGATAACTACCCCCCACCCCCTTGTTGTTTCTATATTTAAAGTCATGTTTGCATAAACTCACTTTAGTGGAAACTAAATTAATTCTTTAACCACGAAAGCCAATTAGAGCTCATCAATCGCTATGGGAGATTATCGTAGTGTGACCTCATTACCTTTAAATGATCATTACGACCAATCGGCAGCATTAAACTATTTCTGCTCCGTAGTTTATTATTAAATGTGACCAACAACATAACCTACATGGTATAAATGTAATGTAAGATGTAATAAAATAAACTGATGGATGTTCTGGCATTTTGTTCATAGTTTATTGTGAGATAAAACCTATTCAAACAGAACAACACAGACACACGTCCTCTAATCCAGTTTATTTTCCTCAGCAGAAAATGGAACACCATCAAATTAAAAAGGAGAAAATAGGACAGAATTATATTCTTGCTTTTTTTAATACATTTAACTAAATATGCCACTCTATGCTAAGGTGTAAGTAACTCAAACTGATATAAGGTTAAATAATTTCTCTAAAAAGGTACAGAAAGATATTCCATTTCTTCCATTTCTCATTAGCACTAAAAAAGAAAAGAAAGAGGAACAAGTTTTCCAGAATATCAAAACAAGAAGCAGAGCTCCCGGCGTCCTCGCTGCGTTCTCATTGGATAAGAGCAACAAACAGGAAGTCCTGATTAGCATAGTTAAGTGGTGTCTGGTTATAAGGGCTTCCTCCCCCCTCCTTCCCCTCCCCCATGAGGTCATTGGTAAAGAAAATAAAAAAATGATGCCTGTAGTTTATTTTGACATTGAAGGAATTCATCATCAGATTGCATTTTTAATAAAGATTTCCGTACCGCCGTTAAACAGAATCACAACGTGAACTTTGATTACCCAGAAAGGAAGGAAGTGAAAGAAAAGTGGATTTTGGTGGAATCCGCCTTTAGGAGAGCAAGAGGTTTGTAACTGAACAACAGTCCAATGCTCGAATCAGATGAAGATGAACCAAAGGTTTATGATGACGACACAACCCAAACGAAGGAGTCCTTCTTCCCCTTGGGAGGGGGGAGGGGGGGCACGTCTCCAAGGTAACCAGCTTTTTGGCTCATTTATCAAAGTCCACATGTGTGCTGCCCATCAACATGACGTCACCGGCTCAACCCGCGGGACAAAAAACTCCTTTAGTGAAATGAATGAAAGCAAAGCAAAAGAAAGAAAATCATAACATTTTAAGAATTACCCCCCCCCCGCCCCCCCAATCTGAGAATTAAGTGACACCTCGTCCACAAAACACATGGAAATAAATTAAAGAGCGATTTAAAGGGCCGTGCGTCATTCCGATTCAACGCTCCGGCTCGTCATAAACTTTACTTTCTTAACGAACACAGACTCTTTGCCCTTAAAACAACGACGGCCCGGTGGGGGGGGGGGGGGGGGGGTTGCCTTTGTTTTTTTTTCTGGGGGGGGGGGGGGGGGGGGGGTTGCTTTTCCAAATGGTAATACTGTTGGGAACACAGTTTATAAAGACAGCCCGAGCTGTCTGTTTGCTTGATGAACCTCTTCCTGTTCAGCCTCTCATCAAGGGGACACATCTAGTACATTCATGCCAATTATTGAGGATGTCCGGTACATGCAAAGAGCCTTAGAATGCCATCGGCTGAACTTTTAGTGCAATAGCCGGTGCTTTGATCCAAAGGAAAAAATTACAGCCCAGCCTGGGCAGTTGATAAACGGTACATGGTGGTGCCTGAAAGCCTGTATGTGATTATGGCAACGGCCTTTTCTTTGAGAATCACGAGGGGAGTAAAGATTATCACACCATTCCGCAACAGACCAACACATGTGTCCGTACATGTTTGCTTCCCCCAACCGTGATAGAGGCAAATTGTTGTCCCTTTAGCAGACCCACGTCAGAGAGACCGATAAGTCAGGATTACGATGTCCCTGCGTCCTAACATGTCGCACATCAGTTCTTTAACATCGAGAACGCAGTATGATCAAATGAAGCTAACCACTGGGGTATTTTTATGG